GATATCAGAGCGTTGTTGATGAGACAGGTGAGGAACGGAAGAAGGTCGGGTGCAATAGATTGTAGAAGATGTGATGAAATGGGGTCAAGAGGGCAGGTGGTCGGACGGGCAGAGGTTACTAGGGTAAGAATTTGGTTGGGAGAGAGGGCGGTGAAAGAGGAAAGTGAGGGCGAAAGAGGCGAGGTCGGTGGGACGCGAGAAGTAGGAGGTGGGTTTGAGAAGGAGGAGCGTATGTCAGCTATTTTCTTGGTGAAGTAGTTGACAAAGTCTCCCGGAAGAAGGGTGGAGGGGGGAGGGGGGGTAGGGGGTTCGAGGAGATTCGAGAAGATCGAGAAGAGTTTTTTGGGGTTGGAGAATGAGGATTCGATTTTGGATTGGTAGAAAGAGCTTTTGGCAGCAGAGATAGAAGCAGAAAACGAGGAGAGAAGAGATTGAAATTCGAGCAGGTCCTCAGGTCGTTTATATTTACGCCATTTCCTTTCCGATGCTCGCATGGTGGCTCTCATGGCACGGACCGGTTGAGACAGCCACGGAGCCGGAGGGGATTTGCCAGTCCGTCGTGTCGTAAGAGGGCAGAGAGAGTCTAGAGAGGAGGAAAGAGTTGAGAGGAGAGTCTCTGCAGCAGCGTTCGGATGCAAGAGTGAGAAGGAGTCAGTTGAAGGGAGAGCTGATAGAACAGAGGATGCCAGCGAGGAGGGAGAGAGGGAGCGAATATTGCGACGAGCCGGTATAGAGTTAGTCAATGAGGGAGGTTTGTTAGTTATAGAGAGTGGAAGGGAGTAAGAGATGAAGAAGTGATCAGACACATGAAGTGGAGTTACAGAGAGGTTAGTGGTAGAGCAGTTTCTAGTAAAGATGTAGTCAAGGTGATTGCCGGCTTTGTGAGTAGGAGGAGAGGGACTGAGTGACAGAGCGAAGGAAGAGAGTAGGTGTAAGAGGTCAGGTGACTTCTCTGTCTGGATGTTGAAGTCACCCAGGAGGATGAGCGGAGGTCCATTTTCGGGGAAATTAGAACCGGTCATGCTTGCTGCCCTTAGCACGTTCACTTTAGCCATGTGTGCAGCGATTTCCTCGTCCATCTTGAGTCTCTCTTTTCCTTTTCGTATCCTTTCCTCTTCCTCCTCCAGCGCATGTTTGTCCTTCAGAAATCCTTGTCGTGCCATTAGTGCTGCCAGGTCAGCTTCAGCATTTATGCGAGCAGAAGAAATGCTTGATATAGATGACCTTTGAGAGCTTCTGGCCGTGGCCCTGCTTCCCACGTTGGATATGCTGTCAGATGGATTCACACAATCCTGTGGATCTCCCTGCATTGAAACGGCCTTTGCTGGTGCTTGTGAGGCGTGCATATCAGAGTCAGGCACATCTTTGTTTGAGCCATCAAAGTCGTTTCCATCCAAGTTCACAGTAGTTTCACTCAGCCATTGGGTAACATTGTCCTTGAAAACGTTGGTGTAACTCTCGATGCTTAAGAACCGTTCCTTTTGTAGAATTTGTTTGCTTTCTGGTAGCAAAGGGATCAATGACTTATGTAGCTTAATGGCCGTGTTGTGGAGCTGAATAAGGGTTTGTATTTGTTGTTGCACCTGATGTACATTTTCCTTTCTTTTCATAAGCTCTTTTATAGCAGGAATTAGCGCTTTGATTTTATCTACGAGCACCTTTCGCTCCTTTTGAAGTTTTTCAATTTTTATTGCCAAAGCCTTTGCAGTTAGTTTGACTTCTCGTTTTTCCATTGTTTCGGAAACATTATTCACGTCGCGATCATGTGTTTCGCTCATTGTGCCTTCAAGTTCGACAGCTCAAGTTTTCACGGTGCACCAACGAGTCAATAGCGTTCAATTAAATTCACGTTTCCAAACGGTATTCAACATCCGATTCCGCACTGCCGAGCCAAACAATTCGACAGTCGATGTAGGCGAACGTCACCCGGAAAGACGGCGATCCCCAATGGACACCCGCAAACCATCAAACTTTCCAAACGCAGCATGAGTGAGAGTGGGGATTTTGCGTGCCTACCGTGGCTGTTCGCGTTGGGATGAATCCGTGGCTCGGTAAGGATCTCTGTCGCGATGTAATCCAGCTTTCTTCTTGGGATCCATAACCCCGTAATCCGACAGGAATCCGTGATAAAGACTGCACGTTTGTTGTATGTAACTGATTACTTATTTGTTTACTTTTTTGTTGACAAATGTGGTGACTACAATCCGGTAGAGTCACGTGAGGCTAAGTACGGGAGATTGGTGTGTGGACTCGTTCCAAACAGACGCAGATTCCTCCTGTGAAGTTCATTGATTTTATTGTCCGAAAGTCAAGTTAAAAAACATCCAAGCAGGCGAAGCGATACATGCTGTGCAACGATGCAATAAAGTGCGCTGTAGAATACGGTCAACAAAAAGTATCGTCTCCCGACTCACCCCCATGTCCATACAACCATCACTCTGCCTAGATGCCTACACTCATTCATAAACCGCTGCACACCGGCCCACGTGATTCTGATGCTAATTACATTTCAAAATAAAAGTACCAACACTCACACACAGGAAATGGCAGACGGCCGCTACAGCTAGCTAGCGCCATGTTAAACCACACCTCAAACAAGTGTCCTCTAGTGCAAAACTATAACAGCTATCTAAAAAATAAGACGTTTTTACGAGACCCAAGACACTGAACGCTACTACTGAACGCATGGATGCGGTTTTTATGTCTGTCCAGTAATAAATACGGCTCCTGTCACAGTTTACAAAACGTGTACCTTCTGGATTTTTTGAGAAATATGTCGGCAGATTTGTATTAGAGCCTATGGGGCTTTTGCCAGAGGTTGTGTCACTTTAACACTCCTTAAACCAAAATTAAAGAACTCTGGGATTCCATGAACACACAATCCAATCAGAACAACCATGCCATCATTAATCTGAAGAAATGAAGCCTCAAGAGTGTATACTTTGGCTCTGAGGAGAAGAGACGCAATACGCACTCATGTAAAACTCAGAAACGGAGCAAAGATCCAGTTAAAAAATAATCCGTAATTATGAAAGCAGTAGAATAGATATCAACAAGCAGTTTTTTTCATAAAATAGTTGAGACTTGTATCAACATTTGAAAGTTTAAATGGTGTCTGTAGCTGAAAGATTTGCGAAGCTGAAAAATCTGAAGGTTTTAAGAAGTTTTAGAGGATTTGGAAAACAAACTCCATTTGAAAACCATGTTAAAATATTAATGATTATTGATTTATATAAATTCAAACTTAAGAGATAGAAATCTGAAAAGTCATAGCCCGGAAGCCGGAAAGAAGCTGATCATTTTAATATTTGAACGGTTTTAATAGCTGAAAGTGTGAAGGAGTTGAAAGGTGCCGCGGAAGAAATACAAGAACTAGAAAATGCATTTCCTGCTGAAAATGCGTTGGAATGCAAAAAGCTGAAAGCTGAACTGAATTTTTAAATATAGCTGAGAATACAGAAAGTTGAAGGGAATTTGAATACATTTGCTGAAATTACAGATATTAGAAAAGCTGAAATTAATTTGAAATTGCTGAAAATACAGAAATGGGAGAAGCTGAAAGGAATTTATAGATTTGCTGAAAAAGCCGAAATGAAAACAGTTGAAATAAATGTGAAATCTTGCAAAAAAAATACAGAAATGAATATTAAAACATTGCTGTTAATACAGGCACAAGAAAAGCTGAAATTATTTTAAAGAACTGCTAAAAATACAGGTAGTGGGGAAGCTGAATTTCAATAGATTTTCTAAAAAATACAGAAGTTGCAGGAGCTTAATTGAATTTAAAAAAAACAGAAATAACAAAAGCCGAGATGACTAAAAGGAGGTTTAAAATTGTTTCTAGTAATATTAGTAGTAGTAGTTATAGTTATAATTGTGGTATTAGTAGTACTAGCTGTAGACGTAGGTTTAGTATCAATAGCAGTAGAAACAGCTGTAATACTAAAACTATTAGCATAGTAGTATTTGTAATAACATTAGTAGTAGTTGTATTAATAGCAGTAGAAATACTAGTAGTATGGTAGTAGAAGTATCAGTTGTAGTACTAGTAATATTCGTAGTGGTTGTAGTAGTATTTGAAAGAGCATTACGTATTTCAACGAAACCGCTTCATTCTGAGCGTCATGGTTAAGGTACAGATAATCATTGAGGCTTTTCAAAAGTGTATACTTTGGCTCTGAGGACAGAAGTTCCATATTTTTTTAACCAGATTCTGACGCTGCCCCACACTCTAGCCCTCGAGGTCTCACTCCAGCAGACGCAATACACACTCATGTAAAAGTCAGAAACGGAGCAAAGAACTAGTGAAACATAATCAGTGATTATGAAAAAAGTAGAATAGATATCAACAAGCAGTTTTTTTCATAAAACAGTTGAGACTTGTGTCAACATTTCAAATCTCCATTGGAAAACCATTAGAAGAAATATTCATGATTACTGATTTATATAAATTCAAGCTTAAGAGGTATAAAGCTTAAAAGTCATAGCTGGAAAGCCGGAAAGGAGTTGAATATTTTAATATTGGAACGGTTTTAATAGCTGAAAGTGTGAAGGAGTTGAAAGGTGCAACAGAAGAAATAGAAGAAGAAGAAGAAGGCGGAATAAAGATTGGAAGAACAATACTTGGAATGCTTAATGCATTCCAACAATTAATTGATCTTGGTCAACTAACAGGTAAGAATCGTTTTTTATTCATTTCCACAGAACACATCAATTCATATTCATAATCAGGAATCAGTTGAAAGGTCAAATATGTCCAACAGATAAACTCAGGGAATGTTCTTTGAGTGAATTGACCACAATACAGAAACCTATTTTTAACATTTACATATTTAATGTCTGAACATGACTTGAAGCAAAACTATATTATTTGCCATTAAATTGACCCTACCAGGGGGTTTAGATATAGGGTTCAAATGATGATGTGAAGTCGACAGCAAGTCAACACTGAAATAATTATTTGCTCTCATTCTGAGCGATATCAAATCACATTTGCTTACCTGCACTTTCCTTTTTTCCTTTTTCTTATCCCGCATTTTGCCAAAGGAAAAAGTTGCCTTTCCTCTCCTTTTTTCTTCCGGTATTCCAGAAAGGTTTTGAATCTTGGGTTTGAGTTGAATGGAGCATTCTGTGATATTACAGGGAAGCACAACATGCATTCTTATAAAATGGCAAAGCATTCATTGCAGGTTCATAGAAACAAACAAAAGTAACGGTACAAAATAAAACACATGGCTGAGGACACGGTTTCCTTGACAGATATCTGATCATATCTCCTTATCACCTTGCTCATAAATAATTGACTAAATATCTGAATGGCAAGCGGGGAGGGGGCAGTTACTTCAGTTTTAGGCAGGGATGTTGTGGTGCCAACGCGATTGTCCGCCAAGGATCATAATACGCAAATACACATAATTAACGTGATATGTCCGTGGTAACAGCAAAGATATGTATTTTTTAAACTAATGTTTCTTGTCACCTAACGTTAATTCAATGGAATTTGGAGTGTATAGCTAGCGTGGTCAGGCATGACATTTACGACAGGCAGGAGAAACCCACCATTACCTTCAAATAAGGTTACGTTAACTTACCTGAAGTTGGTCCATCGGTGGGTTGAGCCAAAGACTCCAGACTTTTTCCAAGTATCTGTCCACAACTTTTGACCACAATTATGGCAAAACATTGTTTTTTTTCGACGTATTTTCGCGCCAAATGAAGGTGTAGCGAGCGAGCGAGTCCTCATTTCCTGTTGTCCAATCAGAAGGGTCCATCCTCTGCTATAAGGTCCTACCCTTTCCGTAAGGAGTTCATTTCGTTGTGGTTTCCCATTTGTCGTTGTGTTTTCCTATTGGCTGTTGTGCGTTCCTATTTTCCGTTGTGTTTTGAACTTCAGGGCCACCGTAGACTGAAGTCGGGTCTCATGAAAGACCTGCTTTCATGAAAACAAACACATTGGATCTCTTCTTCTAAAAGGTTTTCCCATTCACATTTCAATCATTAAAATAATTGGTTTGGCCATTTGTTCACAAGTTGAGGTGGTCTAACAAAAAGGTTAGGCGGGACGCCAAGGCCAACAAAGAAAAGGTAGTCGACAGAGAACCGCAAAGGAAAATCTGTCCACAGCAAGTAGGATCAAGTCATACAAAGATATAGGAAAGTGAAAGTGCAAACAATATATCGACAAAAGTGAAGGGGCTGCGTAAAAAGACCTTCCTCTCTTGCAGATTACCATTCGAATGACAGTTGCTGTATATAAACATGGTTTCATCACAGTGCTAAGAGTAAATGTCTTCAGTAAGAACCTAGATGACGTAAAGATGCTTCTGAAACACTTCCCTTATCTAAAAGCTAGATTTATATTCTGAACAATGTTGACTGACACGCTGAGGGTATGTTTGGGTAACACTTTGAAGACAAATGTTACACCGCCACACTGAGGACAATTAATGCAAATGCATCTTGCAGGAGCCAAATGTCTATTTTATTCAAGATCAACCACATACAGAACGGTGGATTATTCCTGCAAGCAGGGGATCGCAGGGGTGACCAAGGTTGGAAGAAGGTGCGCGTCATACAGACCTATCCGGGGTAATCCAGCAACACAGTAGCCCAGATAAAAGGACCGGGCTCCTTTAACACATCTGAAATCTAATCCAGCATTGTGCATTTTCTGCATTTCTTGCAAAGTAGGCTTTAGTCAGGGGAAATTAAATAATTTTAGCATGTAACAAACCCCAAAATAAAAAAATCAAGAACATTACTAAAACAAGCAAAGCCAAATTCATCAAAATACAGATTTAGACTACTTATTATAGCCAAATAATGTCTGTAGGGATACATTAATATAGTTTGGGATATCAAAACCAATTTGAAACCTTCTCTACTAACCAAACACAGTAGCCGTTAAACAGTTTTATCTTTAATTTAACGACAGATGAAGGTGCAAAACGGTTCAAGGCTTTCAGACGTGTGTTTGGGAGTAGTAGGTAATGAAATTACCGTAAGTATAAAATAACATATTGAGAGGGATACTCCTTAAAAATACAGACCTGATAACCTGTTTAATATCTCAACAGGAATGTCTCTAGTCATCTGATCTGACCCGTGATGTATAAAAGAATTACACGTGCTTTTAATGTAATGTAAGCGATAACACACGCGAAGATTACCTTTTTGATCAAAGGGTTTGAAAGGAAATATTTGTGTAACCTCTAGAGGCTGGAATGATATGTGACACAATCACAAGTTTCTCAAGATTGAAAATTAAAAGTTTCAGCACAATTTAAATTTCAGCAAAAGTGATTCAAGCGCATCAAGAGACACACGGATGAAATACAAAAGATGTGTTGTTGTAAGACAAAAAAAAGTTAGGTAAACAAAAAGTGAAAGTAATCAACCTTTCAACACACATTCTATCGCTAAATATTAAAATATCACAGCCATGTTATTAAAATACTGATTGGGAATGCAAGTGTAGCTTGGCATGGTTGAAGAGCTGTGCATTAGACACGTACACACAAGCATACGACAAATAAAGCACTACTGAGAAATATTACTCATATTACAATATATAAAATATTACAATATTACTACTGAGAAATACTGAGAAAAGGCACATTTGGCTTTCAAAGTTAAGGTCTTCTGATGGCGTTTCACTCAAGACTGTATAGAATGTTCATTGGCCGTGCTCTGAAATCCGACTAACTTGAACCATCTTATATGAAAAGGGCTTTACAACCGCAACACGGCGGTGTATGGAGATGATCTTTTTGTCATCGTACTTCAGCGACATCCTTAACGTCAGTTATCCTCCTCATCGTCGCTGACGAAGCTCCGTCTCTTCTGACACGTCTCTCTCTCCCGGAGAAAGGTCTGTCGGATGGCCTCCAGCTCGGTCAGCTCCAGGCGGACTTTCTCCAGGTGGAAGGAGCGGCGGTTCTGAATTTGTCGCATCGGGAAAGGGTTCATGTCACCAAAGGAGATGTTCATCAGCTTCCTAGAAAAAAGACAGTCAGTGGAATGTTTTTTTATTTTTTATTTGTCATGCTTTGTGCGGATTAAAACATCCAGTTTTATCATTTTTTTATTATGTGTATTCCTTGATTATAACCTTTAGGGCAATTTTAACTGATGCATAACTCACAGACCGTAGGAAACCTGCAACTTCGTTGAGCCAGAAGATACGGAAAGCTGTTCCGAGGTTAATTATCTTGCACCTCAGAAATACCCAAAAACTAATTTCAGTTGTGTCATGACCCGGCTCAACGGAGATGACAAAAACGGGAGAAACACAGTGCAAAGCTGTAAAAGTATATTTATTTAAGTAAAGTAGCAAAACCAAAAGTAAAGCAAATATGAGGTGTGTACGTCAGTAGTTTCAGTCATGTCAGTGTGGGTGCTTGATCATGCAGGCTAGAGTGTTGTGAACATAAATGGAACGCAAAGAGACCCAAACAAAAGAAAGGCCAGGGAAACCAGCGACCCCGGCAGGCAACAACCATGCGCTTTTATACCGCTGGAACCCCCAGCTGCTCTCAATCAGGTTGATGGTATCAGACATGAACCACCAAGCAGGGCCTTCACAGTTGCTCTACCTTGAATCCAGGATTGTGCGTGTAAAGCATCGAAGATATTTAAAGATGGCGGTTGAGTCTTCCAGCTTCAAAAACTCTTCCTCTTTGTACTTGAAGAGAGCGAGGGCGAAGCGAAATATGATCTGTAGGGATAAATGGACAAAAAACTAATATTCACTGTATAACTTTCCACGCGTGACTATATTTCTCTGTTTAAAGTTGCTTTTATGTCTGACCATGCAGCACAGTACAGAACTTACTGTCTTGTTATGAAGTTAACAGCTTGGTGACATTATTCCTACGAAAAATCCCCTTCATACAGTCTATATTAAATCAATAGTTGCACATCAACAATTGATCAGAAGACTAACAAAAGCACTGAGTTATGAATTCATAGTGTATTATCACCCAACTGCGCAGTTAGCTTAGTTTAGCTTCACAACTCTCATGTGTCATTTCTAGCCACAGCTGTCAGCAAAAACGTGACTTGCAAAGGTGAAGAAGAAAGACTTTGTATAGCCATGGCCGTTAAGAGTAAAAGAAGAACACAAATGGTGGTTGCATAATGGAACTTGAAATGAAACTTGTGTACAAAAACAGAAAACTAATCCAACGCACAGAGATCTGCAGAGTAGGGCAAAATGAAAGCCAAACGGATGTGTCCTTATCTCATGTTCAACATTCTTCAGAGCTCTGCTAGCATGCCAAGACCGAACTCTGATCTCTTTCTCTCACCTTAGGACCTTCGTACAGAAAGGAATCCCAGATCTTGAAGAGGATGTCGCTCACCACACTGTCCACAAACACCACCAGGAACCAGTTGAAAGTGATGAGGGAGAAGTCCACCTTGTACTGCTCAAAATGGGCGTGAAGCCGAGGGAGCTTCTCGCACATCAGGTCCTTGAACACACGCTGGTCCACCTGCAAATAGAAAAGCGACACACACACACACACGTTTACAGCCTTCGTCGCTCTTTACAGCAGAACAAAAAATGCTGCTGATCCCCAAAGGCAAACTGATGCCGATTACTGTGCAACATCCTTTGTATGATCGGCAATGAAAAACGAGTAGTTCTGTCCTCCACTGTTCGGGCATAACCTTATTCACCTGTGAGCCCAGCAGAGTCTTGGTGTAATAATCTCTCGGCATGAAGACCTCCACAATGGCTATAAGGCTCCAGAAGGCGTCCTCTTGCTCCAGATAGAGCAAGGCAATAGCCGCCAGCCTGAAGAAAAGCAATGAAGAGGAATAGTTACTATGGATGGAGGGACAGAAGGACACTAACCAGAACCGTAACACCTGAACCCATCTCGTACCTGTTTAGCCCCTGACAGTAGCCAATATCTGGATTCCTCCAGGAGAACGCCATCAAGACATTCCGGAGTTTCTGGATGCCGTCTGCACTCGGGGAGGAATAGTGCTTGTTGTTGGGCAAAGTACGCAGCAAATCCAGCTCGATCTGCTTGGAGGCCGGGTTGGGCTTGTCCCTCGCAACGTTCAGCAAGGTCTCATAGTAATCGGGAGCCAAGTTGTCCCGAAACTTCTTGACGTGGAAGGAGACACACCAGTGCCACACCTGGGAGCGGTGCTCATGGGGCACGCCGTAGCGGAACAGCGCCTTGATCTCGGGGGAGCGCACCAGGTCTCTGTTCATGGTGCTGGACAGATAGTTCTCCCACTTCACGCCGATGGACACCTCCTGATCCGTCATGGAGAGGGACTTCAGCTCCAGGGCTCTCACCTTGGCAACCAGCCTCTCTTCTTCCTCCTCCTCCTCGGGCACCGTCTTGAAGCCGAACGTGTCGTACTCACTGATGTCAGGCGAAGGGAGAGACAGAACGTGGAAACGGGATGTCCAACAACACTTTTAGTGGCGCCCCGCGTTGGCTCAATAAAAGGCCCACATTTAGTGCCATCCTCCTCGCATTCCTTTTCATTTTTCTCGACAGGAAAAACTAGCTCTGCTAATTAGTGTTTCATTTCCTACTGATTTTGCTCCTACTTCTCTGCAAGCCCAGACATGTCCTTTTGTGGGTTACTAGTGTAAGTGGAACGTTAGAAAGTCAAGCAATCCCTGACTGATGTAGCAGATAAAGGCTTTTGAAGCTGCACAAGAGTACGTTTTTCTGCTGCAAAGGATTTGACCTGGATTTGTTATGACATTTTGGTAAAATTATACTAAGGGGATGGACACTTGATATCCTCTACATTTAGAACTAGCACTAGTATCTAACTAACTAATATCAGTTAGAAATAATTTTACTTTCAATACAAACAAAACATGCACGAGGCGATAAAGTCTTTTTGGGAGAGAACATACCTGACAGTGTTTGGCTTAAAGATGGGGAAGTCTGGATGGTCGGAGCTTTCTGCCTGCAGCGCGTCCTCCAACAACCGGGAGATGACTTCTCGGGCGGGGCTCTGCTCCGAAAATGAGCATATGGGGTTCTTCAATTCCTGAAGCAGCACCAGATACTTACTCTCCACCTGGCAAAGCTTGGCCTCCAGGGCCGTACACTGCAGCAGAGACGACAGAGAAAGGTTAAGGTTAAAGGGGGCACCAGCTTGGGTAACTAGCCGTGGACTTCCCCTACAAGCTCCTCAGACTTCCCGTTTCTATTAACAGAATAATGCACCATTGACCACGGTACCTTTGCTTCTAAAACCTTCTCTCTACTCTCTGCGTTTCTGCGTAATACTGTCAACTCCAGGATCTCTTTGTTCAGGAACTTGTTCTGGGATTTGTAGCCTTGAAGACTGTCCTGCGAATTAAAGAAACACAGTCAATCAGACTACAGGAAGAAGCTAAAAGAAATCAACATATTTTGTATAGTTTCACACACCTGCAGTTCTCATAACCTGAATAATTTCTTAATGTTTCCTTCTGTACCTTCAGGATGTCCATCTCCTCCTGATCTTTGACGGGTAAAGGGGAGCCGTCGCTCTGAATGGCGCTCTGCTCCGAACTCTCTTGCGACAGCTTGATGATGACTTCGTCCTTGGCCTGGATGGTCTCCATCAGCATCCCCAGTTGATCGTTTATGTCGCCCACCTTTATCTTCAGGCCCTTAAGCTCTTGTTGCAGACTCTCCTTCTCCAAGGCGAGCCGCTCCATGTGGCCACACAAGTCCTGGACCTGTCCGTCTCTTTCTTGAAGTAGAGCCTCCAGCTGGCCGTTCTCCTGCTGGGTTCCTGCCAAACCTGGAGTGTGGTCTGAAGCTGCGGAGGAATCTGGAGCCGGACGGGAAACTGGCTGCCGATCACACTGAGAGGTCCTCAAAGTCTGCTGCAAAAGTCTCACCAACTCCTAATTGAGTAAAGAGGATTTATTTTTCAACACTGTGGATTATTAAGGATTACGTATTCAGATGTGGTCTTTGTTTGACCTTGTAGAACCATTTCACAAATAATGGTAAGAATTTAAAAGAAATGCTTTTTTTCTACCTGAGATTATATCTGTTGGCCATATTTATAGCATGCAGTGCTTTCTCTACTATTATAACAGCTGAAAAACTCTGCAAAAATGATATATATATTTTTTTTTTCTCCTCCCACGCACAGCAGTTCCGCTCCGACAGGTGGTGCAAATATGTCCATGTAGTCATAACAATTCTGTAGGATTCTCCCACGGTCACAACCAGCTGCTTTGTTTCATAGCAGAAGTGAGCTTCCTCGGGCTAAAACGGAATACACCAGAAGATGACAAAGGAATTTTTATCTTTAATTAATTACATTCTACTTTCTGAAATAAAAAGACACCAATGCAAAGCCATACTTTACTGTGGCTGAGCTGGAAGAGGATGCATCAGGAGCTGAAAACGTGCTGCTTCGCCCTCTTTGGCAGAGGACACCGTCATACTACATCACCAGAGGTGTCAAGTAACGTAAGTAAGTACAAATACTTCGTTACTGTACTTAAGTAGAAATTTTAGGTATCTTTACTTTACTCGAGTATTTATTTTTCTGCCAACTTTTTACTTTTACTCCTTACATTTTAACACAATGATCTGTACTTTCTACTCTGGCGAGATGGCTGAAGGCTCTGAAGACACAGAAGAACATCAGAACCTTCCACATCCCTGGCCCTACCTTGAAGAAGTGTTTGAATTCGTGGGGAGGAAAAAGTACTCATGGAGCATGCGGTGCAAACTTTGCGAACCCAAGAACCATGTACTCTTGGCGTTCATGAACTCTCCGTGTAATTTAAAAAAACATATAGAGGTAAGCTCTGTATTATTATTATAATAATGGTTGATTTATAATGCTTGCTACAGCTTAGCTAGCATAGACACATGCCAACGTGCCTTGGTTTGCTTGCTAGCAGCTGCAAGTTACGCTAGCCTAGTTAGCGCTCTGTGATGTTTGAAAAATAAGGCTAATTTACTACCACGATCTAAAATGTACTACACAGTAGTAAGCTAATTTAATATTCAGTTAATGTATCAGTGTTTCCCATAGGAAATGTGTTAGTAAAGGGTTGTGGATGCGATACTCATGACATGTCCAATTCTTTTCAATTCATCACCTTGTTTTAAAGCAGCATCAAAGAGGAATTGCTAATCGCTATCGGCTAGTAGTGTAAGCTATTGTTGCACCGGTGTTCCGGTTTGGGGGCTTTTGTTGTGAAGGGGGAGATGGAAGGAGAGGAAGTTGAGGTGGTGTTCAACTGGGGGTGTTGTGAAAAGGTGATAAAAATACAGTTGCGGCCGGTTCGGCGCAGAACTGGAGCTTTGGGTTGTTGTTTTTTTAGCAGGAAAGCATCCCACCGCTGCCACCGATGTAGCCGAGTGGTTCGGGTGCGCCTATACTTTGCGTCGATAACAAAAAAAAAAAACCCGGAGCTCCAGTTCTGCGCCGAACCGGCCGCAACTGTATTTTTATCACCTTTTCACAACAAAAGACCCCACACCGGAACACTGTGCAACAATAGCTTACAGTGGCATAACATTAGATAGGTGGCTCAGACACCTCATTTCGGTCTTTAGTCACGCCACACATTCAATTTCTCACGGTAAAAAAAAACCGACTTGACTGTATTGACTGTATCGTCCGCCCTGTCAGCTGTAGCGTCACCCCCCACAAAATGTCACTCCAAGGTTTTTTTTGAAAAGTTTAGAGCTCTAATTTAGTCAACGTGGGTTGTGAGTTAAGGTGGCCAGCCGAACGTATAGCATAGGTGTATAAATAGAGCCAGATATACTAAACTGTATAGCGGTTTGATAATGTGTCTTCTAAATGATCTAATGATTAAATATGCCTATTTTCACAGAGAAAACACCCTACTCATCTGGTGAGATATAAGACCCTTACTTCAAACGCCCTGAAAAGAAAGCCAGAAGCACCAGATGAAGGTCACCCACCCAAACAAGCTAAGTTATGGGAGACCAGAAGAGTGTCCCAGGCCAGTGTTGATAAAGAAGTCCTTCATTTTATCATACAAGGCCTGCACCCACCTAATGTGGTTGAGCAACAGGGTTTCATAGATCTTGTACAACATCTCCAGCCCAATATTAATGTGATGTCACGCAACACTGTTGTAAACCGAGTTGAGAGAGTTTCCCTGGAAATGAAAAACAATCTGAAAACTGCTCTAGCTGAACTTGAGTTCATTGCCACTACAACTGACTGCTGGACAGCGTACAGGCGTGGATTCATAGGCGTCACAGCACATTGGATAGACCCCCAGACTATGAAAAGATGTTGCGCTGCCCTAGTCTGCAAACAGCTTAAAGGGTCACATTCTTGTTCTGCCCTTGCCAGTGCTCTGAATGATATCCACACTGAGTTTAACATCCGTGAAAAGATTACCCGCACCACAACTGATAATGGCTCGAATTTCTTAAAAGCTAGTAGATGATGATGATGATAAAAATGATAAAGAAGACCAGGATAGCACTGAGAGCGTGGAGTTTGTTGAAGCTGGAGCCATATTGGATGAAGACGACTGCCTGGAATATCAGATTCCAAAACACCGTTGTTGCGCTTGCCACCATCTCAATTTGGTGTCAACAGTTGATGTTGAGGAGGCACAGTCTACAAGCGGGTCTCACGCTCAACGTTTTCAAAGTGCTGGAGTCTTTGGAACAAAAGCGCAAGATCCACCACAGCAGCTGAGATCTTTGAAGAGAATTGCAAACTCCAGCTCTTGAGGCCAAATGCAACAAGGTGGAACTCACTCTTCGTAGCAGTGGAGAGGATTGTGAGAATTGCAAGGGAACAAGGAGAAGGGGCCATTGCAGCTGTTTGCAGTGCACTAACGATACCCATGTATGTACCCGCCCCTTTTCATTTTTAAAGCTGAACTATATATTTTTTCACTTTTTCACTTTGAATTGAAAAGCTATAAAACAGTATATTTACTAACCCTCTGCACAGATTATTAGCATTTTAGAATTGGTTTGTTATTGAATTGAAGGTGTAAATATTAAATGTTTTAGCTTGTTTTAACAGGTTCACTCTTGCCGAGCAGAATATGCAAAGACTATGAGACCAGTTGCAAAGGCCCTTGATGTTCTTCAGGGAGAGACAAATGTGCAAATGGGGTGGTTGGTTCCTACAATAACACTACTCAAGGTTAAGCTTCAGCAGTTCTGCATTTCCTCCAAGCTCTGTGGGCCTTTGATTGATGCACTTCTAGGGGGGGCACGTATTGGTTCCAAGAACTTTGAAAATCAGCTTCTTTTGAGGCTAAACAGAAGGTTCTGGTAATTGTTTAGGGTATGCCATTGTACTCTTTCTGTGCTACACAAACACACAAAATACTGACGTACACTGACTCTCACACCCAGACCGAAAATGCTCCTGTGACACCAATGGTGTTGGTAGTGTAATAGTTTATGTCCAGTTTTACTGCCCAGTTTTTGAAGGAAATTATGGACAAGCATACTTCTCACTCACACTCCCTCTCTTTCTTTCTTTCTCTCTCTTACTCACACACACTGATATTCTTCGCAGTCTATTTATCTCCTCAAGCACACTACTTAGTAATGTCCTGGTTTTTTTGCAGGCCAGGGTATGTCTTTTTTATACTTTAAGTAGATTTTAGAGCCTGTACTTTTTTACTTTTACTTGAGTAAAGAGGTTAAGTTGATACTTCAACTTTTACCGGAGTCTTTTTAAACTCCAGTATATATACTTCTACTTGATTGACAAATGTGTTTACTTTTGACACCACTGTACATCATCTGTGGAGCAACATGTAGGACAGACCTCACTAAGCCAAGAAAACGTATCACATGCAAGGACAGAGTATAAAGTCCAGTAACAAAAGATCACAATGTTAATCATTAAGTAAATATTGTATCGAATCCGCAAAGACCCGGCTCACACATTTGTTCCTACGTGTTTGTAAGTGGCCACACTAATTCAGATGCACTGTGAAAATTAAACTTCTAGTGACTATTCGGTTGAACAAAGTGTCCACACAGAGGTTTGCGGATTAAATTAAGCACAGACGACATTGTTTCCTTCAAGAACAATTGCCTTTGTATTTAAACACCATAAACAGGTGAGATTATGTGGTGACTTTCCAACATTACTTACAAATCCAGTCCCGGCCAAACACAACCTGGAGATAAATCATTACTAGTAACAATACAATATCAGCTTTTGTCCCATTGAGTCGACGATGTCGGCTGTGGCTAACTATTTCCAACAACACGTTTGCAGTTACAGCCAGCTGAGTCCGCTGCTAAAGAGCTACCGGGTTCATTCCTGTAGTGCAGCGGTTCCCAAACTCAAGAATGCTACGGCCCACTTTGAAATCTGAAAATCTTTCGCGGCCCACCCAAACCTTTAATCACAACTCTGATCAAAACATAATGATTAAATGAACTTAAGAATTTAACCAAAATCAAACATCCGCGAACAAAAGTCCGTCTCCGCGAGGTATTTGCTTGCTTGCGAAACGTGAACTTTGTTGCTCGCGAGGAGAATCTCTGCTCGCGCTCGAAGGAGTTTTCTACGCGCTCGCTGTTGTTCTTTTTGACAGTCAGGTGGAGACGGTGCTTTCAGGGTCCGGTCGATGCCGCGAGGTGCGTCTGCTCCCGCCGCCCCCCTCGCCATCCACGCCTTAAATCTTCGGCTGCTTTTAGAATAACTTATTTTCCCCGTTAAGATGGTTCAGCTACTGTAGAGAAAAGGGCACCGTCTCTCGCTCTTTAATCTCATGAAGTGCTCGGCGAGAACGACAGCTTTGTTTCCCCGACGCGCCCTGAAAGCAGCTCCATATCTCACGCGCTTGAGCGCCGCTCAGCATCTCGCCGTCGTAGACAAGCTTTGTCATGTTTGGCAGAGCGCCTTGAGCGCCGTGTACAACCAGTATGGATCAACCGATTAACCAATTGATCCATATATAAGGCGCTCCGGATTATAAGGCACTGTCGTTTTTTGAGAACATTAAAGCCTTTTAAGTGCACCTTGGAGTGCGGAAAATGCGGTATATTTACTTTAATACTACAAGAGGGCGCCCCATTTGTTGAACAACGACAGGCGGACAAGAGCAGCCGTTTCGAGCGAGAGCCTTATTGTTTTATTAATCTGTCCGTTTAAATTTGTGCTTCATCAACTAATGTTTCACATAACTAATGTGCCGCATCATAAATATTTTTATATTAATTTCAAACTTTTAAAAATTGAAAATTAAAAAACTTTATTTACTTATTTATTGTAAATGACCTCTCGCGGCCCACCTGCAGTACCTTCGCGGCCGCGGCCCACACTTTGGGAATCAATGGTTTACACAAACAATACTTCCTGTTGTTGTTGTTTTTGTTGCGGTTGATTGGTCATAATAAAATATTAAAACCCTTATATGAAATACACAAAACTCAAATTGTCATAGTGAACGTGGCCGGATGAACTCCTGTATCTTAGATTTGGTAGAAAAGTACTCAACTGCAAATAAAATTCCGCCATTCAAAATAAGTAAAAGTACTGAACTTTAACCAGCAAAACTAAAGTATATAAAAGGCAGAATTCTCTCAGTATTGTAGCGTGTCTTAAGTTTCTAAATGCATATGGTTCTGATTACTGTTACTGTTACTTAGGCCAGGGTTGGGGTACCGCCCCTTCCGGGGTAATGTGTGTAGATTTTGGGGAACACAGGAAGTGGGAATTGCGGGGAGTTGTGGGTAGTTGAGTCCTTACTGGTGGAAAAACCGGGTGTTTTCCAGGTGTTTGACTCCACTTGCCATTGATAAGAGTCATGACAGGGTGTCACGTGGGTGCCCTCTAGTGGGTCCCTGCGGACGTGGGTGCGACATCCTGTAGCTAAAAAGTTAGTCTGCTGCAAGGTGTGTATCTGGTAAGTTGGCTGTAGAAAGTCCCCTTGTCAATGCCAATGCTATATCAACTAGCTCATATCTTTTATTTTTTTGTTTAACAGTTATGATGCCACGAGGTAGTCTATGAGGACGCTAAACCTCCTGTATGTTCGGCCACACTTTGGGAATCGCTGCTGTAGCGGTTTGGGCTGGCAGCTTAAACTAATTTATTATACATTTATCTGGCCGCCATTGGGATCAACCGGCTGATCTCAAAGCGCTAAAACAAGAACAGAGAGTATTGGGAAGGAACAACGCGGCTGCAATTGTTATTCAGAGAACTGCTATTTCCTTGTTTCTCGCTCAAGTATGACTAATCATTTGCCGTCCAGAGAGCATCCAGATTAAACCAAACCAAAGTCACCAACCACAACCTCAGGCCTGAGCTGAATTACAAGATTAAAGTAAAACCAGCATGGTGTTAACCCTAATGTGGATAATAAACACATTAAGTCAATCCTTGACATTTACAGGGACATGTGAAAGCCTTCTTATTAGGGGTGGGAATCTCTTGGCACCTCACGATTCGATTCGATTCCGATTCAGAGGTCAACGATTTGATTCTAAACCGATTAGCGATTCTAAACTGATAAAACGATTATCGATGCATCTCGATTTTCTAAATTTTCTCAAATCTGAGTTTGCTATTCAGAGGTTGCTAATCACTTCCTACTTATATGATTTTCTATCAACAATGCAAGAACCAATGCAGCTTGCTTTTCAACACAATATGAAAGTAGCCGATGTAAAAAAAATATTAAACAGATTCACTTTTCTTTTAAATGAATAAAAAGCTGCTCTTAGTCTCAGACCGGTCCATATTTGTAAAATACCGGAAGAAAGTCAAAATCTGTGAATATCTTGCCAACTTTCAATACGGATCGAATTTTTGAAAAATCAAAATAATGAGGTAAGATATGCGCAAGCTCCTCCATAGTTCGGTAAAGTTATTAGATATTCAGATTCAGACTGACGGACCGGTCTGCGAGCTGGACGCATTGCTCTTAATGTGCCGCTAATGATGGTAAATGATGGTTGTAGCTGGTTGTCATCTACGGTCCACTACGATTACGTAAACGATACGTTTGTGTTTTGACAACGTTTTATCTCATAATTTTGACTTTCTGTCCCCTTTCTTTAGTGCGGAAATGGGCTTTTATAGTTGTGTGAACGCATCACTCCAGCCAATCCAAAGACGGGGTTTGTAACCAATCAGATGTAGATACCATGGTGACTGGCTCCGCCCCCTTACTGTCAAAAAGAAAAACAGCGAGTGCGTAGAAAACACCTTCGAGCGCGAGCAAAGACTAACCTCGCGAGCAACAAAGTTCACGCTCCGCGAGCGAGCAAATATCTCGCGCGAGATGGACTTTTTTTTATTTTTTATTCCGATTATTAACTTTTCTGAATCGAGACCGAATCGTTCTAGAGAGAATCGTGAGAAATCGAAGAATCGATTATTTTCCCCTATACCCCTACTTCTTATCCTAGTCACATAATTACCACAATCACTCATAGAAAAGTGACGAGCCAGTTTACAATAATTGTAACCACTTCCCCACCCTTTCTGTGGCTAACTCTGCCTCTGAATGTCACGTGCATGATATTCCGTCTTCAAATGCAACTAAACGTGTTAACATGACGAGAGCGAGGCACCGGTACCTTCTGACTGGCCAGCTCCCCCCGGAGGTCGGCCTGCTCGCGCTGCATGCGGCCAAGTTCTTCCTGTTGGCTCTGGAGGCGAAACGCTGCGTCCAAAGGTCTGCTGCCGTTGCATTCCACTGGGGGGCTCTCGGCGCTGCGCGTCTCGGTGCTGCGCCCAAACCTCCCGGAGGCCATCATGTCGCGCAGCAACGGCTTCTTCGGCCGCGATGCGTTGCGCGCAAAGTCAAAATGGAACGCCGACCCAAAGGAATCTGAGAGATAAAAGAGATAACGACGCGGTCAAACCGTCAACAGACCCATCGTTTGTCCGTTTTTCACTGTGCAAATAAGTGGAGCACTAAGACAGCGCTCCTCGGGGGAACGTGAAGGTGATTGAGTTTTGAAGCCCGACCGCAGGGGGCAATTATAGGGATGAAGGACTGGACGTACGCCTGTGTGTGTCCGTGTGATGCTTCTGTTGTTCAGGGAAGTCCTTGGTCGGTGCGTCCACCAGCTCCCACTCCTCTGCGCTGCTGTTGGCGTAAAACATGCTGCGTCTGCTCTCAGCTCCTCTGCCCAGCCGCAGATAAGACATGGAGTTCCTGGCGCAAGAGAAACCAGACGATAGGGCGAGTGAGGCCGCGGAGCTTCTGTGTTAAACGCTTTTCAAATGCTCAGGGATCAAGGGCAACGTGCGGCGACACCCGGGGGCCTTTGCTCCTTCGTAGATGGAGAGATGAGCGCAAACGACCTTTGTTGAGGTCTTTTACACACGTTGGCTAACAGAGCTGCGGCTAAAGCAAAAGGTAACACACACACACACAACAGCTGGACGTGTCTGGGTGACAATTAATGGGAGAGCATGTCTTACAAATAAAGTGTCTATGTAAATTAAAATGAAAGGTTACACAAATGGAAGGCCTTCTTGAAGGCAGGTTGTCGAACCACAACAGACATTTCTATAAGGGAGATCATCGTAACCACATGAGTGTTTGTGAGCACTTGAATGCAGCACAGCACGTATACACTGGACCGGTTCGTCATTAACCTCATGTCCATGAGACGGAAAAGACACACTTATTACATGTATTAATCAATAGATTTGTCAACAGCGGCCCCAAAACGGATTCACTCTCGCTTTATGAATACGGAGAGTCGAAGCATTTTTTCAACATCACATACAACTGTATACCCTCATAGAACTGTATGCAACTGTATGCATTCAAAATATACGGCGCCGGATCGGCATAAAAAGGCAAAGAGCAAACTGGCGAGGACACATGCTTTAAGGCGCAGGCATCACGGCAGCTCAAATGCTCCAAGGTTTCTCTGCACCTCTTTTTTTCCATCACAGATTCAAGTCGAATTCCACAAACATTTCAAATTTTTAGCGTTCCAGTGTTTTGTGTCATTGGATGTGTTGTGTGGTTCTAAAGGGGAACTGTTGAGAGCTGCATACTAGTGCAACTAGTACACTCTGTAACAGTTTCCTCTTCGTTGAGTTAACCTCAAGAACAGCTGCAGAGCGCTCTCCTTTTCCAGAGAACATCTCTGTCGGGGCATATTGCTTTTGAGATATTTCTGGGGCCGGTTTGGGAGAGAACTAAAAACACTTCCCGTTTTAAATTGTCGGTACACTGTCATCTAACTTGCACGGTGAAGGCCTTTGTTCAGCCTTACCGGAGTTCTGTGCCAAAGTTTTTGAGGGAGAAGTTGAGGGGGTTGGTGGACGCAGCAGAAGGCCCCCGGGCTGACTGGATCCCCACCATTCCCCCACCATCGCTCTCCGTCTCCATGGCAAAGTCGCTACGGACCTTCTCCATGCCGTCACTTAGCTTGGGAAAGACGGGTGCATCTGAAATAAAAACATACACAGAGAACAATTCGAAACAACTCAGTGATGACGTTGCATTGCTCAGATTAAACACGGCTGTATTGCAGGACTGCTGCAGGTATTCTTTTTGTTGTTTCTTTGGGAAATTGGAATATCATGAGAGCGTTTGCCAGAGAGAAGTTAGGCAATATCTTAAGTTACCCAGAATAATGTTTACAGAAAAGTGTCTGTCTGTGGTTTTACGCGCGGCGATGTAGCATGCGGGCACGTTGACCAAATTTGGTATGAAATCGACTTGGAATGTGTGGGAACGTTTTATAAAAACGGTAATACGGCTTCAAAGATAGGGAGTCACACCCAACAGGGAAGTCAGTTGTAACCACATAAGTCGTCACAACTGACAATGAACAACCTCCGTTTGCATAGAGTCAATCTTTGACAAAGAAAAACAAACCCTGTCTTCCTCCATCCAACCCAAATCTGTGCCAGCTTTTATTAACAGTTTCACGTGTCACAGAATGGTTCGTTTCACTTTGCAGTACCTAAACCTTTATACTTCTCTTTAATTCCAGTTAAAGAGTAGGTGTGGTAGGTGTGCTGTTTTAAAGACACATGTACACCAAGACAGAGCAGCATGGAAGACCAGCAAAATAATAATCAAATATCAAATAAACTCTTGTCGGAGATCATAATGTAAATTCTCTATGACATGGTATAAGTGTATTCTATTGTTTATATTGTAAATCCGGTTGAGCTGCATTTTTTTTTTATTTAGAAAAATGGGAGTAACTTGAAAGCAGCGAGCAATTTCTTTTCTTCCAAATGTGTTCAAATAAAACATACCCCAGATAAAGAGAGATGTGAACTCTCATCCGGTCCAGTTTGTTGATTCCTCTTTTAATTGATACTTAACAAAAAACACTCCTTGATTCTCGCTTTGCGGCAACTCGGGAACCAACTCAACCTCTGTCTGTGGCACTTGTGTAAATATTAAACGGAGCAGCCACAGCGCTTTACTTTTAGCTGGTGCCTGGATGTGATGAGACTTGAGCAGTGAAAACGTGCATCCCCGCATTTCATTTTTGAGTGTGTGTGTGTGTGTGTACCTGCTTACAATTGTCTTTGCCCACGAGGCCCGTGGGGGGGGAGGCCAGGGTCAGCGAGCTCCAGCTAGAGCCTTGCGTGTTGCTGTACTCCCAACGTTTCTGCTGCAACTGCTGGAGCCAGAAATGCATCACCTGCCTGGTGGGGGCCTGCAGACACACACACACACACACACACACACACACACACACAGACAAACGTACACTTACCTTCATGTACAAGTAACACAATCAAGATCACGTTAAGAGGCAACTCAAACTTCATCACTTCTAGAATGACGCCTCGGAGAGGACGGTGGAAAATGAAGAAAGCATGCGAAACAGGATCAGTCACGTGGACGAGCACAGGCGCTGGTTTCGGTCTCAGTTCCAGCCTCGGGCCGTGCAAGCTGTTTGCCGTTAACCATTCTTACCATCTGCTGGGTGAGAGAAGGCTCTAGCCTTTGAGCAGCTGGGACACCTGCCTGCTGGCACTGAAACCAGCCCGCGTCACGTGACAGCAGGGAAGACACCGTCACATGAGGGGACAGGCAGATGAGGTCATGAGGATGAAACACTGACCCTTGACCTTGACTCTGCGCGCGTGTGTGTGTCATTCAGTTGACTAATGTGGTAATTAGGTTCTTATCTGGTAAACACGTGCAGCCCAATTGATTGGGGTTTCCGCGCAACTTTTCTTGAAAGTTTCCAAAGGCCAACCGCGTGCGCGTAACGGTCACTGAAGTGGACGCCTGAAGTTCGGACGGGTGTGTCTCGCGATTTTGTGCGCACTGACAAAGGAAGTGACACATGCAGGAAAAAAAAGTTCCTACCTTCATGAGAAACTCCTTCCCGGTGGTGCGGATCTCGAACTGACCCTCCTCCCCCTCCACGTCGTAACTGAAGCACGCGTCGCCTATTTCGATGTGGCCGAGCGGCAAGGCGTCTTGGGGAGTCTTGAAGTAATACAAGTAACATTTCCTGGGATCGTACACGAACCATCCGGGCTTGTAGCCCCTGAGAGGCCCCTTGCCGGACAGTTTGTTCAAGTACCCGCACAGCTTGGAGGCCCGCTTCTTCGCACCCTCGACCTCCGCCGCCGCCGCCACATCCACGGACTTGGCGGCCACGATGCGCGCGGCCGCGCTGGGGCTCGCGGCTCCGCCGTCCTCCGCTTCGTGCATATTTCGCTCCGAGTGTTGCGCTCGCGCGGCGCAGCGGATGCCCATTGCTGTTTCCACCCGCATGACCGGCTGCCTCCAGGAAGAGGGCACCATGGGAGATGTAGTCTGAGTTCTAACGTGACGCGTGTGCACGAGGCGCGTGCACGCGTGAGGACCGCCGCCGGGTGGCGGTGTTGAGTCAGATGTATGACCGCAGGTACTCCGGCTGCTGCGAATGGTTTACACCAACTCGAGAATGCCGCGGCCCAACCTTTAATCACAACTCTGATCAAAACATAATGATTAAATGACCTTAAGAATTTAACCAAAATCAAACATCCGCGAGCAAAAGTCCGTCTCCACGAGGTATTTGCTCGCTTGCGAAACGTGAACTTCGTTGCTCGCGAGGAGAATCTCTGCTCGCGATCGAAGGAGTTTTCTACGCGCTCGCTGTTGTTCTTTTTGACAGTCAGGTGGAGACGGTGCTTTCAGGGTCCGGTCGATGCCGCGAGGTGCGTCCGCTCCCGCCGCCCCCTCGCCATCCACGCCTTAAATCTTCGGCTGCTTTTAGAATAACTTATTTTCACCGTTAAGATGGTTCAGCTACTGTAGATAAAAGTGCACCGTCTTTCGCTCTTTAATCTCATGAAGTGTTCGGCGAGAACAACAGCTTTGTTTCTCCGACGCGCCCTGAAAGCAGCTCCATATCTCACGCGCTTGAGCGCCTGCTCAGCGCGTCGTAGCTTTGGCATGTTTGGCAGAGCGCCTTGAGCGCCGTGTACAACCAGTATGGATCAACCGATTAACCAATTGATCCATATATAAGGCGCTCCGGATTATAAGGCACTGTCGTTTTTTGAAAAAATTAAAGCCTTTTAAGTGCGTCTTGGAGTGCGGAAAATGCGGTATATTTACTTTAATACTACAAGAGGGCGCTCCATTTGTTGAACAACGACAGGCGGACAAGAGCAGCCGTTTCGAGCAAGAGCCTTATTGTTTTATTAATCTGTCCGTTTAAATTGTATGTGCTTCATCAATTAATGTTTCACATAACTATTGTGCCACATCAAAAATAATGTTATATTAATTTCAAACTTTTAAAAATTGAAAATTAAAAAACGTTACTTATTTATTGTAAATGACCTCTCGCGGCCCACCTGCAGTACCTTCGCAGCCGCGGCCCACACTTTGGGAATTGCTGGTTTACACAAACAATACTTCCTGTTGTTGTTGGTTTTGTTGCTGTTGATTGGTCATAATAAAATATTAAAACCCTTATATGAAATACACAAAACTCAAATTGTCATAGTGAACGTGGCCGGATGAACTCCTGTATCTTAGATTTGGTAGAAAAGTACTCAACTGCAAATAAAATTCCGCCAAAATAAGTAAAAATACTGAGCTTTAACCAGCAAAACTAAAGTATATAAAAGGCAGAATTCTCTCAGTATTGTAGCGTGTCTTAAGTTTCTAAATGCATATGGTTCTGATTACTGTTACTGTTACTTAGGCCAGGGTTGGGGTACCGCCCCTTCCGGGGTAATGTGTGTAGATTTTGGGGAACACAGGAAGTGGAAATTGCGGGGAGTTGTGGGTAGTTGAGTCCTTACTGGTGGAAAAACCGGGTGTTTTTGGATGGCGTGTGTAACGGGTGTTTGACTCCACATGTCATGAGTCATGACAGGGTGTCACGTGGGTGCCCTCTAGTGGGTCCCTGCGGACGTGGGTGCGACACCCTGTAGCTAAAAAGTTAGTCTGCTGCAAGGTGTGTATCTGGTAAGTTGGCTGTAGAAAAGTCCCCTGGTCAATGCCAATGCTATATCAACTAGCTCATATCTTTTATTTTTTTGTTTAACAGTGTGAGCAATGTGGTCCGTGTCCGGGTGATAATTCTAAAAACACAACGCAACAGAGACAACCGCTACACGTGGCTGTGGCCGACAGCAGTCAACAATAAACCCAAGTAATAATAAACTGGCTCTTTATTGACACAGAACGTTACAACTGGTGTCAGAAGAAAACTTCTGATTCTGATAACGTGGTCGACCGCTCGGGCATTGGCGGACTACTGTTTGGAGGACACTTTTTCTGGTGGAGATGGAGCGTTCTTTTGGCAGAGGTTTTTGTGTCAAGAAGGAGGAGGAGGGCAACGAGTACGGATATCCTCATCCTGTTCAGGTGCTGGGAGGACAACGTTTTTCCGTTGACAGTCTAGGAAGGGAGATGATACGTGAGTTACAGCCACCAACATCCACGGGGGGTCCTGGTTTTGGCGACGGCTAGCGCTGAAGCTAGCTACACGGCGCGCAAAAAATTGCCGCCCGGGAACGTGCATGGACAAAACGTAAACAAAGATGGCGGTGCCCAGGGACAGCGAGTGCCGGTAGGCATGAAAACGCCGAAATATGCGGGGAAGTCGGACTGGGAGGCTTTTCATGCTCAGTTCTAGCTTTTGGCTCGTGCAAACAGCTGGTCAGATGAACAGAAAGCCCTACAGCTCGCCCTTTGTTTGACAGATGATGCACTGTCTTGCCTGCTGCTTTTAGACCCGAGTGAGAGGGGTAATTATTTAGCCCTGGCTAGTGCTCTAAGGCGCCGGTTTGGACAATGTTTTCGTTCGGAGCTGCTGCGCTCAGAGCTGCATGGACATCAGAGGCGAACTGGGGAACCCCTCCGCACAGTAACTGGTGAGCTAGCACCAATGAAAGGGAGAGGGCAGCTGATATTGACTGTGGGGGGACGGAAAATGAGACACACTGTATGGGTAGCGGAAGTACAAGATGCCTGTATTTTAGGCTTGGACTTTTTGCGGGAGCAGGGCTGTCAGTTAGACCTGGGGAAAGCCACACTTAGTGATGGGCAGGTGGTGCATATGAGACCGCTGGATCCCCAGCGCGCAGCTACACACACAGCCGGACCTCACGGGTGCTGTGTGGGGGAAGGAAAGCAGACAAGGGCTGCCAGGTCGTACCTGTCAGAGCCTCGGCTAGGCCCTGAGCCAGCCACCTGTGGCCTGAACTCGCCTGTCAGGCTGACCCCGTCTGCGGTGGAGGGCTGTGAGAGTCTGCATGAGAGTGAAGCAGAAAGGGTGACAGCCCTGCGTGAGGTCTGGCAAAGAAGTGCCGGGGACTTGGATTCTGAGCAGCAGGAGCGACTATGGCAGCTGCTGATAAAGTTCCGCGACTGCTTTTCATGTGACGAGGAGGAGCTGGGACAGACCTCTCTCGTACAGCACACAATTGACATGGGTGATGCTGCGCCTATACGGCAGCGCCCACGTCGCCTCCCCCTGGGCCGACAAGACGCAGCGGAGAGGGCTTTGGAGAAAATGCAGCAAGCTGGCATAATAGAGCCCTCTGAGAGCCCCTGGGCATCACCAGTCGTGATGGTGCCGAAGAGAGGAGGTGAGTGGCGCTTCTGCATGGATTATAGGAGGCTTAATGACATCACCAAGAAGGACTCCTACCCGCTTCCCCGCATGGATGACTGTCTGGACCTAGTAGCTGGCTCATCCTGGTTCTCGTCCTTGGACTTGAGGAGCGGCTATTGGCAGGTCACCCTGCCCGAAGAGGCCCGGCCCAAGACCGCATTCTGCACAGGAAAGGGGCTGTGGCAGTTTAAGGTGCTCTGTTTTGGACTATGTAATGCGCCTGCCACATTCGAACGCTTAATGGAGAGGGTGTTAGCTGGGGTTCCACACACGGAGTGCATGGTGTATTTAGATGACATTCTGGCTCATTGGACTAATCTCTGGTGGGGACGAGTCCGCCTACAGGTAGGAGTTTGACCATCTGGTGTCGTGGTGCAGCCAGAACAACCTGGAGCTTAACGCTCTAAAGACAGTGGAGATGGTTGTGGATTTCCGGCGGAACAGAGCCCCACCCTCCCCATCACCCTGTGTGACTCCCCCGTCACTATTGTGGATTCCTTCCGTCTCCTGGGCTCCATCATCACCCAGGACCTCAAGTGGGAGCTGAACATCAGCTCCATCACCAAGAAGGCTCAGCAGAGGTTGTTCTTCCTGAGGCAGCTGAAGAAACTCAACCTGCCAAAGACGATGATGGTCCACTTCTACACGGCCATCATCGAGTCCATCCTCTGCTCCTCCATCACCGTCTGGTACCCTGCAGCCACAGCCAAGGACAAGGGCAGGCTTCAGCGGGTCATCCGCTCTGCAGAAAGGGTGATCGGCTGCAATCTGCCGTCCCTGCAGGACTTGTTCGCTTCCAGGTCTCTGAAGCGAGCTAAAAAGATCGTGGCCGACCCCTCCCACCCCGGACAAAAACTGTTTGTGCCCCTTCCATCTGGCAGGAGGCTGAGGTCCATCAGGACTAAGACCTCCCGCCACACGAACAGTTTCTTCCCGTCGGCAGTCGGGCTCATCAACAGAGCCCGGTCCCCCACTGCCTGACTATAACACTCCACCGGTCACTCCCCCTCATACTGCACATGCCACTTTAACTGCAATTCTTCACTTGTCACTTTGTCTCTTGTCTGTTACTTGTTCGTTAGTGCACTTTATGCTTAATATTTTTCTTTTTAACTTTTTAATATTTACATTTTTTTAACTTTATTCCCTTGTTTTATACTAACCCATAGCCTTAGCATTATTCTACTAATCCATTGCAATAGCATTTCATTCCACTTTATTTTATTACTTGTGCATTGTTGTCTTGTCTGTCTACTGTCGCGCACTAACCGCCAAGACAAATTCCTTGTATGTTTGACATATTTTGGCTAATAAATGTTTCCTGATCCTGTTCCTGATCCTGATGGCAGCTCATTTGATTCGGTTATGGCAGCACTGCGCAGAGTTATTGAAAGGATCAAGGGGCCTGGACTGAAGTTACACCCGGACAAATGCAGGCTGCTGTGCAGGGAGCTGACCTTCCTGGGGCACCGAATAGGCAGCGAGGGTATCGGCACAGTGGAGGAGAAGGTGCATGCCATACGTGAGTGGCCCACCCCGACAGACCAGAGGGGACTAAAAGGTTTTTTAGGTTTAGCTTCCTATTACAGGAAATTTGTCAGGGGATTTTCAGGCATTGCTAAACCCTGTACATGATACTGCAGAAGGACCAGCCCTTTGTGTGGGCAGAGGACTGTAAAATCGCATTCAACACCCTCCAAGAGGCTCTGTCAAGCGCACCCATCCTGGCAGCCCCTGACACCGAAGTGCCTTTTGTTGTGGACACAGATGCTAGCGGCAATGGAGTGGAGGCAGTCCTATCACAGGCATGGCCGGAAGGAGAGAGGATTGTGGCCTACTACAGCAAAGCCCTGAATAAAGCTGAGCGGCGGTATTGCGTCACACAACGCTGACGCACTTTCCCGTCGACCCTGCGGTAAAGACGGCTGCCGGTATTGTGACTGCAGAGAGGCCAGAAAACAGCAGCTGGTTCTGGGGCCAAACAAGCGGGACAGAGAGGAGTGTGAAGAGACTGTCATGGCTTTTAGAGAGCTGCTGGTGGTGGACAATGCTATCTGGGCCGCTGGACAGCAACAAGACCCGGACGTGCAGCCAGTGATGCTGTGGGTGGAGGCGTGGCAGCGGCCCTGGGAAGAGCGGCCGCTCTCTCCCCATAGACAAAAGGGCTGTGGGATGAACTTAATTCTTTGTAGCTGGTTGATGGGGTCCTTCAGCGACCATGGTTAGAACCAGCGTCGGGAGAGAAAAAGTGGCAGACGGTGGTACCCAGAGGAATGCAGGGGGCTGTTCTCAAAGCCATGCATGGCTCTGCAGGCTCCGGTCACTTTGGTTACACTCCGGCGGGTCCGTCAAGCTTTCTATTGGGGGCGGCTGAGGAGAGACGTTGAGGACTTTTGTCTGTGCTGTGATTTCTGCACTGCTCGCAAAGGACCACAGGGCCAGTCCAGGGCTCAGCTGCAGCAGTTTCCAGTGGGGGAACCCATGCAGCGGCTGGGGGTAGATGTTCTGGGGCCTCTCCCACTCACAGACAGAGGTAATCGCTACATACTCGCTACTCTGGATTATTTCACCAAATGGCCTGAGGCCTATGCCATTAAGGACCAGGAGGCCGAGACCATTGTTAATGCCCTAGTGGAGGGGATAATCAGTAGGCTGGGGGTGCCAGAGTCAATCCATAGGGATCAGGGGAGAAATTTTGAATCTAAAATTTTTGCCACGATGTGTACACGTCTGGGCATCACAAAGACCCGTACAACACCACTCCACCCCCAGAGTGATGGATTAGTGGAAAGATTTAACCGGACTCTGGGCGAACAGCTATCTATCCTGACTGCCGACCATCAGCGCAGGCAAATGCATAGTGCGGGCGTGCGACAAAAAAATAATTATGACGTCCGGGCCAAGGGCCGACAGCAACAGTGGGGAGCTGGTGTGGACCTACACTCCTAAACGGAAAAAAGGCAGGTGCCCTAAGCTGGATAGCCACTGGGTGGGACCGTGTCTGGTCCTGGAGCGGCTGGGAGAGGTCGTCTACCGGGTGCAGATGCCTGGCAGGGGGCGCCGGGTGGCGTTACACCGGGACAGGCTGGCACCATACCGGGGCATCGCCTCCCTTCAGACAGCTAGTGGAGAGGAGGAAACGCCTTGGATGCCTGTCGTGGCATCACCTAACTGGGAAGTCGTTGCAGGTAGCCCGGGGGACACCGCAAGTGCACACAGTTTGCCACCTGCAGCTTTGGAGCCACCTGACCTGGGACACACAGGGGGGCAACGGGAAAAGACGACGCCTGTGGGCCGACCGATGAGGAAGCGGCGGACGCCACTGAGGCCTAAAGACTTTGTCCTCGGGGACGAGGACTTAAGAAGGGGGGGGGGGGGGGTAATGTAGCGTGTCATAAGTTCATAAATGTATATGGTTCTGATTACTGTTACTGTTACAGTTACAGTTTCGCCCACCAGCGAACACAGAGCGCGCGACTGCTACACCCCCCCGTCGGTCGTTCCGCCCGCAACAACTACTACCCCTCCCGTTATTCCGCCGGACCTTCTCGACCGGTCCGCGAAATATTGTCTGACATGGAAACGGTTCGTGAGGTAAAAAAGGTTGGGGACCACTGCTTTAGAGCAATACTTGCACTGCACTGCCAAGCGGTATTTCTTTGCTGGCATAATGCAATTTAAACCAAGGTCTCTCCACAGCTTTTAGTAAGTGATAATTGATGAAGAACAACAACATTAGTATGCCTGTGCCATGGAACCACAATACAAAATAATTGAATAGCAAGCAAGCAATGTAACTTTACAACCACAGGTGAAAAGTATACCGCCGTAATAGTTGAGATGCATACTCTGAAGGTCCTGGATAGATTTTGACCTTCCTTCTTTCCCCATGTCTATTTGCCTACACTTTCAATAAAGGTGAAAACAAAAAACATGCCAAAACTTTGACATTTGCATCCAAATGATGAAGTAGGAGAAGAAAAGGGGACTCGCTGAAATACAAGAACAGCACCTGCAGGTCTTATAACAGTATGTAAAGTGCAGTTAATAATTAATCTTTCCACTCTTTTAAAGAAGCTACAGTATATTGATCAATAAATCAATCTAGTTCACAGCAGTTTTATCACCAATGCATAAATTGGGATGTTGATGGGGTCGTCGTGGCGTAGGGGTAGAGAGGGTGCGCTGGGAACCACAAGGTTGGTGGTTCTAGTCCTGGCTGCCCCATGTCCCATGTCGAATTGTCCCTGAGCAAGACACCTAACCAGGCAGACATGATCCATGGTTACAACAACAACCTAGTAGTGTAACTTGTGTTTTTATTATGGAGGTTAAGTTGAACTTTGGCTTACTTGGTTATTTGTGGTGATGCTCGTTCAACCCTCGGGGTTAAATGTGACTTGCTAAAGTTTTGGTGGAATGACATTTTACAAACCTCAACTCACTTGTGACCTTTAGAAGATCAACTTCCGCCTCAGAGGTTCATCACCAGAAGACAGAACAAAGATCTTAAGAGCCCTTTTTCTGTTAACTGTCTGATACCTCTGCCTCATTTTCAGTTTATCCGTCTACCCAACATCTTCTGCAGGTAGAAAACATGTTTAAGTTGTTCACTTGAGTATTACTAGTCTATGTATATGTATATATATATATATATATATATATATATATATATATATATATATGTATATATATATATATATATTATGACAATAAGCCTGTTATGTTGGATCTTTGCAAGCGCAGAAACAATGATAACATTTGACCCTCAACCTCTCGACACCCCCAGAGGAGAGCATGATGACGCACAACGACATGTAAAACTGTCAGACCGTACTGTCGAGATGATGTTGAAATTCTGGGGCATGGTCATGGAGCAATAAGTCATACTCGGAACACAACGATTGAATTATTGTGTAAGCTGTGTCTGGGTAGATGAGACATAGGCTTTTAAATACATTATAGAAAAATCTGAGAAAAAGTTGACTTAGTCGACGTAGTCATTCAGTATCACACTGATCAAACCTTTAGAGACAGGTTTGCTCAGCTGTCTTTGGGGAAGAGTAGCCGTGGGCCTTCTGACATGAACGTTTGAGCAACATTGTATTTTTAGAAATGTTGAAATAGCATGTCCGTCCGTCTCAGTATGAGACCGACTCTGTCCTCTGGTTATTTGTTATTGCTCACCACAGAGCAGAACCCGAGACAAAGATGATTCACAACAACTGTGCAATTGCAATTGTTTTTACGTCAACCTTAAACTCAAGGCTGGGAATTATCTCATCTTGTTAAAGTTTTGTTTCTGCACCTTGGAAACCTTCCCAAACGTTTCCGTTTGTTCACACATTTGCTGCTGTCTCATGAGCAGTGATTCGAATTCATTGCAAAGTGAGGTAAAAAGAACAACAGAAGATTCACTGCTGACGCAACTGATCCCCCATTACTTCAGTGATCAAACAGCCTGTGGGTAAAACATCTCCTGTTGCAAAACCAATGCACTCACTTGCACACAACATCGATGTGACATTACATCAGAGTAGGTGGGTGTACACAGAGGTCTGTCTGGATGAAAAGGGAAAACAGCCTCTTTCGTATGTAGAGGGAGAACAGACTTTTGATATCGTGAATTCTTAATATTTTTGAAAATGCCGCTCATTGTCCACAACGGCTTCTTACCCACGTGGTTCCTGGGCTTCATTACAAGAAAGTAAGTATTCATCGAGGAAGCATTTCATCAAATGGCCAAAATTGATGTCAAGTGTGCTAGGGGTGTGTTTCCATCCTTTTAGAGTTAGTTAGAAATCAACTTAATTGCTCAATAATATACTTTGTGTGGAATTCAATTCTCAAAAGTGTTATTCTTCCATTGGAAATAATAAATAACAGAATTATTTCCTGATATATAACGACTAAAAAACTCCATGACAGAGTAGTAAAAATGCTTTCTTATTTTGCTTGTGAAGAAAATAATAGAATATGCGTTGTACTTGAGCTATATCATCGCACAGTCACAGTATACATCAGGTGCATTGATATTTTAGTACAGCAGACCTATCCTATGGCAGACATACAGTAAACACCTACACAACCCGTGTTTAGGTAGATGACAGGTTTGTGAAAAAGACCTGAAACCAAATGGATTTTCTTGTGATGAAATTAAATTTCTAAGGGGAATTACGTGATCCGCTTTGCTGTTCCTGTAAACTCAAGTCAAGTTGGGCTTTTTGGAAACTCGTTTCAGTCTGAGTTTTTAACACTGCATGAAAAGTGAGATTTTCGTCCCCGTAAACGCCCGGAAATCTCCCTAATTTCCGACAATTTCCGACAATTTGCAACCCGCGCACGTCGCGTTTGTCTGTGCCACAAATTGTCGGAAACGAACCATGACGTAGGCGGAGAGCTGGCGGAGGTGCGAATGGCCAGAATTAGCATCTGAATGCAGCGAAAACGCGGGTGGCCGAGCCGAGCGGGCTTGAATATCCTTACTCCTTATTGGATGAAACCACAACTTACGAACAAATAAAATCACTCGTGATTGGCAGCAAAACCACACGTGGGCAGACCAGGCTTGAGTTTCCTTGTTCATGATTGGATGAAACCACAACTTTCAATCACTCGTGATTGGTTGGCAGATCTGTCGCTATTGGTCACCCGCCTCATTTTATTTATATATTCATATTATGCTGTATATTCATTTCATGGTTATCCTATGTAGGCTACTACACTATTATTAGGATACCAACCAGGACATCAATGAATTTATAGAGAAAATGAACATTTGCCACATGTTTATGCAAAGAAAGAGCTTTATTAACAACACACAAGCAACAACTACATACAAAGTGAGGATCTGCCCACACTTGGGTAACGGCGGTTTAAAAACTACAGCTCAGTAAACTGTCCGTTTGCCTCCTCGGGGTTGTTGACCGTCACTGGCGCCGTGTTTTCCGAGGCAGGTCTGTTGTGCAGGCGGCTCGTGTGCGTGTGGCGACCGTACAATCCACCCGAGACCCCGCCAACAACGCCAACAACGCCGTCTCCTCCGTCCGACGTGAGCTCCACGGTGGCGGAGTTCCACCTCGTCATCAGCCAGCACACTTTGTCTCGATTCCAGCAGCTGTAAAAACAACAATGAATCAGTACTGTGCGATGCGATGTGTACGGACACAACACATCTATCAATGCACCTGAAACAAGTCAGCAAATAAACTCTGACCGTCTTTCTTCTCGCTCGTCTCCGCGCTGAATCCTTCGCAGCTTCCGCCCGCAATGAGTGTTCCGGCTGGAAAACCTGAAGCTCCTGCGTCCCGTCTCACAATACGTCTAACAGGGAGCTGGAAAACAATTAAATGAGTGTGGTATGAATAAAAAAAATCAAACGCAAGTCACAGTAACATTTAACAAGAAAAGGAGAAACAGTGTCACTTACACACAATGACGTCGTCTAAATCTGGACTTTTCCCGGAGCAAATACGAGGTCACCGCCTCATTATGAGGCGAGATTAGTCTGTGAAAACAAAATGTACAGTTATGATCGGTATCCATACGTATATATTCCCTTATACCGCAGAATGAAAGCATATTCTGTAAATGTTACCCTTGCTCCGGTTCGTAGCGCCTGTAGTTCGTCTCGGAGTTGTGAAGACGGCGCACCGCTTCCTGTAAACGAAACGGCAAAGAAAACACACTTTAATAAAGCTGTTTCTGCTCACTTGTAAGGCTACTAGGCTACTCTTAGCTTAGCTTGAGGCTACGCTACTTTTAGCTTAGCTTGCAGTCATCGAACGTATTCTTACCGCTATCGTGGGATTGTGCGCCCGTCTCCTCTTCTTTGAGTCAGTTCCTCTCCTCCATGGACAGAAACCCGCAGAGTCCCGAACGCTCCAGTGGAGCGAACCGCTCGTTGATATCGGCAGTTTGTTGTTGGAGTTGACGAGACGATCCACTGAGAGCATTCAGCAGCTTCTTCTCGTCTGTCTGCGGACTGGCCGAAAGTTGGTGACCGCGGAGAGGAGTTGAAGGCGAGTTGAACGCGAGACGTCGTCCAGCCATTATTCACGAACCAGCAAAAACCAAACAAAGGAACTGGAGATACAGTTCTTCTGAATATAGTAACACACACGTGTCTGTTTGTATGCTCGTCTTGCAAGTACTGCTGTCTGAGTCATGCCTATGACCTCACACGTGATTGGACGAGGAGTCTAAGGGTCCTCCAATCACATACGAGGTTATTGTTATACGGAAGGACCAGCATTTTAGGAAGACAAATGGTTGGGACTTTGAAACAGCTGATATGCTTTATGTAAAGCAGTGTTTTGGTGTCAGCAGAACGACTTTCCCTAGAAAACTGTACAGTGGCTCTTTCTCCATTCCACCAGACACTCTTGGATGAGACTGACAGACATGCAATGTTGACAATGTATCATCAGATGTACCCTTGTGTCACTGAGGTTGAATGTTTTGCCATGACATGTAAACGGGTAACATATATGAATGTAACTTACTCAATCGATAGATGCAGAGCATAAAGGTCAGCATATGTTTATGCTAAGTGGTGTGGAAACACTAACAGTTTTGAGGACCCGTCCTTGACCCTCTAGCAGAACTACGACCAGCCATTATAAAGCAGTTTATAGTTGTTAATGTTGTGTCAAAGGGTACGGCATTTAAACATGTTCTTGCACAAGTTTCCTGGCTTCATCTCCACCCGGACAGACATTTTTACGGAAAGCCAATAGAAGTTTGGGGCTTGCAGGGAACAGACACATCATACAGCATCATTTCTGCCAGTTGAGCGCATTGCTAGAAGATGTGTGGTTAATACATCCTCTGTGCATTTAAGTAAGACCAAAGAAAAGGTCACTGTAGTCCTGCCACTATGCACTGTAGTTGAGCTCTAGGAGACTGATCTCTGCAGACCCCTCATGCTGATTCAAATGTTGTCTGCATGGAATGCTCATTTTACCTTGATTAAAACTCATCTTTTAAAGAAGTTATTTTGTGTATCTTTTTTACATAACATTTGCCATTGCTAATGGCGTACACAGTAATATAGCATATTTGAATTAAATAAATCAATTCAAGCTAAAATGTAAGAGTCTATAATTAGGCTACTGAGCCTGATCTATTTGTACCAGAGATTTTCTTACCTTTTAAAAAAATGTCACCTGGGCTAAAACTCCCTCTGCGATCCTGATTTGCATTTGTATAGCTCACAGCATTGTCATTTACATGTCAAAGCCTCCCCTAGAATTAGGAGGAGGGGGGACATGGGGGGACAACTGCCAAGGGAGGCCCACATCAATTTCTGACAATTTCCAGCAGTTTTCGGCGTTGCCCGCAAATTGCCGTAAACCTGAAATTCCATGACAATTTACAGTGCCGCATACTGCCGAAAATCCCACTTTTCATGCAGTGTAAAGTTGTAATATTTTCAGGGAGGCTGAAGAAATACTCCGGGAAAAGGAGCTGGGCTGTTTCCTGATTCGTCTCAGTGACAAGGCTATGGGATACATACTGTCTTATAAGTGAGTAGTGGTTTGATCTGAACAACAACTGTTCTTCAGAAAACGTATTTTGAAATGAACCTGAACCAAAACATTTGCTCTCTACATTTATTTTTATTTATAACAATCCTTGCTTAGACTTTAAATATAATGATATGTAAAATATAGCTGTTGGTAATTGAGAGCACAGGACGAAACCTCGTAATTCTTTTTTTACTTAACCACAGATCTTATTTCTGTTATTTAAATCGAACTTTTTGTCCATTTTTAGATGTGTTTTTTTAATCAATCGATTCAAATTTTCTGTTGCAGGGGGCAGGATCGGTGTAGGCATTTTGTGATAAACCAAAGTGAATCGGGGCAGTTTGTAATGTGTGGAGACACCGAGGGACACGACTCAGTCGCTGATCTCATAGAGTACTACAAGTCGAGCCCCATTCAGCCGTTTGGAGAGTACCTGGCATCTTTGTGTTTTGAGGTGAGATAAAAAACCCTCAGTCTCTTTCTCCAAGTAAGGACAATTGAGAATAAAGATCTAACTGGTGCTTTGTTCCCTGCAGGCACTGGATGAAGAGCTCTATGATTTCATCCAGGTCAGCCCCAAAGAGAAACCTCTGGCCACTGTAGGATATTAGAAACAAATTGAAGATCCGGTTCATAAAATTAATAAAAATGCATATAGTGTACACCAGAATACAGCCATGATTCTGAAACTGTGTAATCCATAAAGTAATGACAATATTGTAAAACCACTGTAAATCTGCAACTGTAATAGACTAATATTGATGCAGTTATGATTGTATTTGATGTAATGTAATCAACTGGAATGCATGCATTTAATACTTGAACAACAACTGATATTGACTAAGGATCATCCGAAATCCGAGCTACATTGAACTCACCAGAAGACCACTCCCAGAGGTGTGGACACTGACTTTCACACCTTTAAGCATTGGTATAAATACCTGTAGCAACGATTGTTCTCGAGTTCACTGGTGGAGGCTACAGACGGGCACTAGGGATGGTCAAAGGACTGACCTGGGGCCTGTTGGTGGCTGAGACCAGCGGCTCCTCAGCTGAGATGTTCTTTTTACCACAACGCCATCTCCTTTATTAAATACATTTGATTTTAACCTTTCGACCAGCGATGACCTCTGTCCGTCCGGCGTTTCTTCATTTTTGAACACAACACCACCGACAAAGCTGTGAGGCCCAAGCAAAAGCCACTGATTAACTCTGCCTCAGAGCAGCCGCCTGCACGGCCCCCAAAGGGCAACAGGACCCAGGAGGCGAGTATATTCCGCTATATTCTGGAAGAATATTCCAATGTCTACAGCACACAGAAATTGTTGTTGTACTTATACCTCCAAGCCGACTTGACGAACCTGGCTCCTTGTGTAAAACAGGTGGTACCACCTTTGCCTCTGAGAAACAGGCCAGTTGCCGGTGACCCCCTAAATGACCCAGACAGGGCTTTGTACGCTCAGCTCAAAAAGCAATCACCCAGGGAGATCCCGAGATTCCAACACGCCTCCCAGGACAATCCCCAAGGAGATAAGGCCAGGAGAGCCGAGAGATCTTCAACCCAGGATCAGAGCCGGTGTTGTTCTCCATCCGCAGCCGAGGCTGTTTACTCTCAGCTCGGCCTGCTGGAAAGCAAGAGCAGATCTCTGCCGCTTCTGGACAATGTGGTGGAAATTTGTGGATTTAGCCCATGTGAGAAATCAAAAGTATCTTGAGCTTGCTTTGTGATTTATTTATTACTAACTAGAATATAGAAAAAAGATAAAGAATACAGAAATCATCAGCACAAGTCGTAAGCACAGACAGAAGTCAAATGGCTACAATTCAGCTGAAAAAGGACAGATGTTCCTTCCCCCAAAAGGAGCAGGAAGATCTGACAAAGCTGAAGAGGAGAACAGGAGCTTATATACACTTCAGGGAGGTTTGTGCTGCCTCAGCACAGGAGAGCCCACCCCTCAAAGAGGAGTGTTGGAAAAGTACCAGATGATGTAGGGGTGACCCCGTGACCCTCCCTTAAGGGACCCGGTCAATCAACAACATCTAAAAGGTCAGTCAGGGCACGTATGATTTCATCTGTGTCTTATCTCACCCTGGACTGCCTTAAGTCACCGGCTCACATCAAAGGTCACATTCCTGAGAGCCTCACCCCACGCAGGCTCAACAATTTTCCCCCAACACCTATATATAAATGGGGATTAGAGCCATGTGGCACAAATGAGCAACATTTATCCATTTGCCTTTTTCCTCTATTTAAATATGATGATGTATGAAAAACAATTTATGCAATTAAGCCTTGAAACGCCAACACCTAATAACATTAACAGTCTTATAACACCGACCCCTAATAACTACAAGCACTGCAAAGATGTATAAGCCTCATCCTCAATTTACACACTCGTGTTGTGCTTTAAGTTCTTGTTTTTTTTCCGGATGTAGCAGCTGGACAAAGCTCCTCCAACCATCTGCACTGACCTGGTAGGCATCAAGCTGCTCGTCGGTAAAGATCGTTTGCTTGTTGCCCATGTTAGTCAGGTAATCGGTTGCTTGTATTGAACGTCCGAAGCGTTTTCTCAATGAAAGGCATTTAGGGGGTCCGCGGCAGACTCAAGTCTCCTCTTTAAAACGGGTGGTTGCTGTCGTCCATGCAGGAGCTGTGCGCCATGCACGTTAAAAGGTACTGAATGCGCGACAAAAACATTGGAGAAAAGGAAAATAGAAAGTAGAAGAGCGGAGTCGGTGCAGGTGGAGGCGGAGGGTTTATCTGCGGAGACGTGGAGCTGCAGACGGATGCTACGTGTCCCCTTGAGCTGGGAGAACCAATAGGAACTCAGCTATACAAATAAATGAATAAATAAATACATACATACATAATTAATCCAAAGGGGTTGGGGTTAGCAAATATAAAATGGATTGCTGCAGATGTTAAACGTATGCAGTTGTATGCACGTTTTATGTACAAAATATTTTGGTGCAGTGGTGGTGAATTTAGTCAGTTTGCCTGAGATGTGCCAGAGGGATAAAAATACAAAACCGGTGTGAATATACAGAGTTATCTTTACTGGCAATGTGTACATGCACTACAAACCACGGAAAGACAAATCTTAGATTTGCATGTTTACATGGAATATTTCACCGCTGATTGAACAAGACCTCGAATGCTCATTTATTTCCCATCCTTTTGATTTAATTAATTGTAGGCCTACTAGATATTGACGAACGTTACACGTACACAAAACAAATCCCCATCGATAACTAACTGATCATTGCTGTGCACAAATTTAAACTTTGAATTGCAAACGAACCTGTTGCCCAGTCACATTGCATAACAAATAATGCAACAATTTGTCCAAGGGACGTCCCCGTCCTCTCTGTAACACAACAGATCGCTTGATTTTCACCGTGCTGGACTGCGGACACTGAAAGACACTGATAAGTAGCTTTCTAGGCACCAAAGTTGCCCGCGATGGAGTCAAAGCCAGATAAAGACCAAGGTAAGTTGAGACGGGTAGCTTGTTGCTACGCTAGCGACGGGCAGCGCGTGCTAGCTAGCCGGCTAGCCGCGGCGTTAGCTTAACTGTAGCCGACAACGTATCGTTCGTTACATAACATGTTGCGTGTGTCATCATCAGAAGAATAACGAACAATTACCATCTTCGTGAACTAACCCTCCCACTCTCATTCGGCTGAATCATCCTCGTGGAATCACGCACAGCTACTAACATTAGCTTAACGTATTCAATGGTCCTGCTTATCCCATACAAGAGTGCCCCCCCCCCCCCCTTTTTTTGTAGCAGGGTTTAAAGTACCATCAACACTCAAGTTATATCTAAACATATAACCGAATGAAATGTGAATAAAATAACCCCGGTATAATTATTTATCCTCAACTTGTCCGGGAGTCTGTGTTTAATTTATTCAGGCTTATGAAAAAGTAGTCATGTGTAGTTAAGAGTCGGGGACTTAAATTCTACGCCCTCCGTTGTTATTCGTGAATGTTGAATGTCAAGCTTCATATACAACACACACACACACACACACACACACACACACACACACACACGCACGCACGCACGCACGCACGCACGCACACAAACAGCATATCTGCCTGTTTGTGTCCCGTCTCAACAGAGCTAGAGGAAAAGCTCAGCATGCTGCCAGATGAGGAAATACCTGGTCCGCTTGAATCGGTATTTACTATTCAGAGCATGATTTCACGGGTGGTTGGATTGTTCCTCTGCAAACAGAGCAGCATTCTGCTTCTGGAGCGCTGAGTCACAACTATGGACACAAGGATTTCTGCATATGTAGGAAAAGAAAGGTGAATGTGGCTTGTTTCTCTTGGTTCTTTCAGAGGCAGACTGTGAGAAGATAACAGCCGTGCTGCTCCCCAGTGAGCACAAGACGTAATTTCAACGTTGAAATATGGTTGAAATCGGGTTGAAATGAGGTCTGAACGTCTAAGACCTCATTTCAACGTCTTTTCAACCGGCTAAAAATGGGATGAAACATCAACGTGCCAGAAAACGTCAATTTGTTGACAAATGTGTCATGATGTAACGTAAGGTTGAAAGATAGACGATATTAACGTTAAGATTTTCATAATAATTAATGAACTGGTCGGCGAAATTTGGTCTACGCGAAGACGTAATTTCAACGTATTTAATATTTCACTTAAAACGTCATAATTATGAAACTACGGACTGCATGCTGTTAATAAGATGCGTTTAAGACATAATAATGCGGGCAGGTTCAAACATTACTTGTAAACACGTGACTCCGCTCACATCTGTAACGCGCATGCGCGAGTTCTTAGACGCCTGCAGAGCTCCGAGCGGACGAGGCGAAGTTACGGCAGCAGAGCGACATGAACGGGCTGATAGAACCACGACTACCGGCTCCAATGCTCTGTAAGTACGGGAGTGTTTGGATGAAGCACACATGGAACTATAACCGGGTGTTTTACTTGTGCTGCCCACCCGATACGGGAAAGACGGTCCTTTTTGTTAAGCTAGTTAGCGTTAGCGCAGGTAGTTTGCTAGTTAGCATGCTAGCTTGGAGCATGCTAGCGTTCAGCATGATGACCTGGACCAAAAGTAAACATCCCAGAATATTTTTCGTGTGTTTGGTGTTACTAATGCGTTAGGTTGTTGCTGTACCCATAAATGTTATTGCATTTCACATTGAAAATACGTTTTTAAAGCAATGGGGGCTAAATACAGATTGCAAGGGTGAAGGGCTGAATTCAACAAGTTGTGCTCTGTAAACAAGAGGGACAACACATTGTAAGTTACTGCTGCTTAAAGCATGATACTGTGTAATATACCTGGAAATGTTACTCCAGAAATACCATAAGTTGCAGATGAATTGTTATCTTGTTGATAATGTAATAAGTAAACCATCTATAAATGAGGATTCTAACACACCTGCTGCTGCTGTTATTATTATTATTAGTTTATTACTGTCATCATAAACCCAAATGACCAACTTTGCCGTTGTGCTTCCCTCCTCACAGGTTTCTGCGGGTGGTGGTTGCATCTGATGGAGGTTACGTCTGATGATGGTTGTCCCTGCACTGGTCCTGCCTTACCCCTGGCTTAGTAATCCACAATATTAGAATCATTTCTGTCGTAGGAATTGGATGTACTGTACATCTTTAAATTGTTCATACTCTACACACCTACTGCCTTGCTGTTTTCTCCTCAGGTTTCTCCCGGTTGAAGGTTTTTTACATTTTGGGGGTTTTGGGACAGGATGTTGCATGTTTACAGATTGCAAAGATGAACAAAATAAAATGATTTGAATTGAATAAACACGTTGACCAGAGAAATCTGCAATTCAGGGCTGTTCTCTGCACTCTGACTCCCTTTACACAAAGAATCATCAAGTGAGGATGAGGGAGATGCAGCTGATTTCAGGTATACTATCCCAACTCAAGTGACTCACAGCCACATCTTGTTACAGAATCTAAAAATGAAGTTCAAATGATTCAGAAAAATGGTCTACAAACACAGAATTGTTGTTGTTGAACACAGAAATGTTGTTTCTGCACTTTTAAATCCATAGTTAATTTCCCTGAAATATATATTTTATTTTTGTATTGTTTTTAATTAGGAAAAGTGTTATATGTATAGTGTTATATTTATAATAAATGCAAATGAACAAAATAATGTGTTTGTCCTTGTTAAGGGCTGTTAACATGATAACTGTGACTAAGTATGTAACTTGTAAGTTTCCAGCGAGCAATTTATCCGTTGAAACAACGTTTAAAAGACGTCTATGGCCCGACGTTGAAAAGAGGTTGCAAATTGGTTCAAAAGTGAAAGTTGTTTCAACGTCTATTCGTAGACGTTGAAAAGACGTTCGCGTATAGACCCGTTTTCAACGTGATATATAATATCGGTGGTAAACTTACAAATGTGGACGTAGTTTCTTTTTAAACCTCTAAAATAATGATATAGCATACAAGAGAAGACGAAATATTACCGTATTAAAAAATCACGTTGAAATGTGGTCTAAACATAGACGTCTTTTCAACGTCTACGAATAGACGTTGAAACAACTTTCACTTTTAAACCATTTTGCAACGTGTTTTCAACGTCGGGCATAGAGGTCTTTTAAACGTCTTTTCAACCAAAAAATGCTCACTGGGTCAAGTCACGTACTGGAGAATTCAATTTGGAGTCAACACTGTTCCTCAAATTGAGAGGTCTTTGTAAGAATTAAATCAGTGTTTCTCCTGTTAATGCCTCGGAAGATGCGTTATTGTTCGTAATGGTTGGTTGCATGTATGTCTTACAGGAATCCATGATCTTGGATGCCCTGGGGAGTGTATGAGTTTAGAGAAACTGGACCTCTCTGCAAATAACATCACAAATTTAGACTTGGCTGGTAATATCATATCCAGATATCGTAACGTGACGATGAGTAGGATTATAAATATGTCAGTGATTACATTGTATAAAGACAATGTAATGTGTCATTGCTGTTAAAGATTGTAATATTTGGTTACCAGTAATTATTGTTCCTGAATTGGTAAAAAGCATCTCTCATGGGTTATTTCTTTTAAACAGCATTGAGAGCCTCCACTGCCTTCAGCCTTTGAGAAAGCTGAAAAATATACGTCTTAAAGACAACACCTATAATTATAGTAATCCAGGTAATTATTTTGTGACTTTATTTTTTAAACACCCCGTAAATGGAATATCTTGTTAAGAGAACTCACAGTGACTTTCTCTGTGCACAGTGTGCAGGAACTCGGCATATAGAAATACAGGTCATGCATGAGGTCAACTCCCAACATCTCCCAAGGTTCTTTAACCACAGTTTGTTGCAGTTTGCCAGGAGGTTTCCGGGTCTCAGGTTTATAGAGCTGGCAAACATGGCAACATGTTCTCTGACATCTATACTCATCTTAGGCCAGTATACGAAGACTTGCAGCCTTTTATAGGTTTTGTATCTCCCAAAATGACCAGACAGAGGATTGTCATGATAATGATGCAGAAGCTGTGGGCGGAGTGATGATGGCACGTACACTTGGTAGAGTGTTTTGTGAGGTAATTGCACCACTCTGTAGACCTTGTCCTCCAAAACAGTGAACTTGGTTGTCAGATTTTTCATCACTTCTCCTTTTTCCATGATTTTATCATACAAGTTTTGGATGACAGAATCCTCCTGCTGGGCTTTCCAAATATCCTCGTCAGTCACTTGAAGATTTTTAGAGGTGTTGTTCCCCCAACATAAAATTGCTGGATGGTAAGAATTGGAATTTTTATTCTTTTAGTTTTTTGCATAACGTTAACTCACAGACTCTTGTTACATTTTTTTAATTGGTTTCTCAACTGCAGGTGAAAGAGTTGTCGGACGTGGGAGTGACTTGTACCA